CTGCCTCTCTCCTACCTCCTTTCTTCCCTCCATCATCCTTTCCTACTCTACTTCCCCTTCCTTTCTCCGCTTTAGAATCTCACCAAAGATTAACCACATAATAATAATAGCAATCATTAATATCTGGTCAGTCCTTGTTATTTGGCATATAACAGAACTACTGTACATGGAACTTGATAATTTGCACCACAAGACAAGAAAACTAACAACAATGAATATGTTTAGCATCCAAAAACAGATATTAATCAGCACTGTTTCCAAGAGCAGAGGAGGGTAAAGGATTCCTACAGATGAAAGAAATTGTGCAGGAAGAAAAGCATGTCCCGAATGATTAAATTTAGAAAAGCCAGGAATTCTTGCTGAAGGAAGTCAATCAAAGAAAGCCCTTAAAAACAACAAAGGAGGAAGGTTGCATATAGGAAAGGAACAATTGAAAAGCAATTTGTTAACTGACATAATAAGTCAGGGCTTGAAGGGTATAGCTGATAAAAACCCCATATGGAGTTGATTAAGGTCAGGTTTCACGAAAGAAATTGAAGGGTTTATTTTAGCAGCCAAGAACACGCTTTGCCAACTAATTGCATCAAAAACTCAACATGCAACAAACAACAGCAAATGTTGCCTTTGTAGGGGAAAAGGGTGAAACAATCTGTTATGTATTCAGCAGCTGCAGCAAAATTTCACAAATTGTCTACAAGCAGTGTCATGACCGAGTGGCCAAAATTAGTCATTTTTTTTACACAATCCTTTTGACTCAGCACTGCATATCAGAGTAAACAAAATGAACAGAAAGACAAGTGTATACATTCCATAACTGATAAAAACAAAAACATCCCTGTATGATTGCAGCATATGAAAAAGAAGCAGCACACTTCAGGGTGTTTTTTGCGTGTAAAAATTGCATTCAGCATGAGCAGCCAAATGTTGAGCAATACAGCGATGTTTATGAATGGTGAAACACCCCAGCGTGACCCACTAAACTATTAAACTGTCCAAGCTGTGCTAGTTGCTTAGTGGGTCAGCTTTGAAATTTGGATTTGGATTTGGAGTTTATTCAATTTGTAGGCCGCCCTATATTCCCCGAAGGGACTCAGGGTGGCTGAACAAAGCCAAGGGAGGGGAAATTACAAAAAGTAAGAAAAAGATAATCAGACAATACGAACAATTTAAAAGACACAGCAAATTCGAGTAGGGGGGGAACTCAACCCCAGGCTTGCTGGGTCTTCACGGCCGTCCAGAAGGCCCGAAGGGTGGAGAGGGTCCGAATCTCCACGGGGAGCTCGTTCCAAAGGG